TTTCACAATTAAATAATTTTACTTTGATTTCATTGAGTTTTAAGGCACCAAACAGCTTTCTTTTACCTAGGTCTTTCCAAGCGACGAGGACGAGGACTATCACTTAAGCGCTTGTCCCTCCCACCTTCGACCGGCCAAAAGCGCCATTTCCCCTCAAATTCCGATACTTCTCTAGAATTAAAAGAAGATATAAAAGCAAAGGGTATCATTTAATCAGTATTAAACGAGAATTCCGAGCTCTACATGCTTCCCAACCGGAAACAGCGCTACATGGACCTAGCGCCCGCCTGCAACCTGCTACATCAAAGTCCAACGGTCAACGTTCGACCCAAAACTTTCCTACTATGTTCTGTCCCCTTCGGGGTGACATACGAAAAAATTGGAACGATACAGAGAAGATTAGCATGGCCCCTGCACAAGGATGACACGCTTCTCCAGAGTGGACGACCTTCGGGTCGCAATATTTATTTTGTTTGATTTCCTTCGCCTCATCCTTTTATTCCAGCAAACTCCAAGATTCACTCTGTATTTTATTTCTAAATACTTTTCAAGGAAACAAATACAATAAATCAATTGAGAATTTATAAATAAATAAATAAAGTATCGCTACTGCGTCCGTCCCCCTTTCTCCTTCCTCACACCCGCACACTGCTCGAGCTCTCTCCGGCCCCTCTGGCCGTTCCTTTTTGAGTACCCCACAATGTGTTTCTCCTTCCTATAGATCGTTTCAGCTAGAAAAAAAACCCTACTGGGATAATCATGCTTTCAGTACTATGTTTGGTGCCAGGAGGAGAAATAAGAAGACTGCAAGAGACTCACAATTGATATCTTACTCACTAGTATACGAGGTAGGCAGTGAGGCAGGCAAGTTGATGCATCAATCATGAATGTTGACACTTGAGAACACTGTAATCATACTCTCAGGAGTCAGTGGAACCATCAAATTCTGTATCCGTAGATTGATGCACTGTTTGCCAGTCGTACGCGCATCAATCAATATAGTACTCACATGTACCATCTCTTTCCTGATATTTTCATTTCCATAATGGCACACATCCAGAAAGATAGTAGTTGTGTGGTTATCGTGATGCGCTGAATCGAAGTCTCCTCAACTGATAAAGGAATCGACGCCTGTTGCCATCCGACCTCAGGCTTAGTACTAATTATTAGAGGTCTGAATCCTGGTTACTTCTATGTATATACGCTTCAAGCGGCCACAATACTTCTGTTTATGACGCATATAATGGTTGATTGAAATGCAAATCCGATGCGATGAATCATATTTCGTTATGTTCCCAAGTACCTAGCCTTGGACACTAGATGCTTGACATCCAAAAAATTTGGAACGATACAGAGAACCGTTTCACGGACTTTGCACATCGATAACACAAATTCTTCAGTTCCTGCGAGGGGAATTAGAAAAGAATGCAGAAGTATTAATTCTCCTACAGTATGTATTACATATTGAAGTTGCCACCGAGCTTGGCCTACCACCATCAAGTAGTGTCCAAGATGTTCTCTTAACCCCAAACGTACCTGGCTTGAGTCAACTTCGACTTGGGGGATAAAATCAGACATGAATGAAATCACGATTCTTCTCGCTATCTGCAAGTTCGCATCGGTCTCCGAGCTAAACTCAGCCGTCTCTAACCTTAACGAGACCCCTTGCGAGTTCCTTGCAATCCCGAATCCGCGTCGTACAATGCAATTGAGATGCGGAGAAGAAACGGTGTATCTACTATCGATTCTAAGGCGTAAGACATTGTAACTTCTGCTAGGAAACCTCATGGCGTGCCGGTATCCCACTACTATCCTTAGTGACCGATCAGAACAAATGATTAGCCTTGCTAAAAAATCCCTCTATAGCCTTCAGAATTAACTACACGCGCATTATATACAATACGTTAGATTCGCTGACGGTGATCCCCAGGAACTCTCCAGCCCTGTGGTTCTACCTATCCCAAATTCGAATCGACACACCTGGCATCGAATTTCGAAGGGTAGAATATATAGGAATAACATAACCCCAATCAACTCATGACTGAACTCATAGAGCGAAGACTGCTCCAGCGACAAGGGCCAACGCAACAGTCAAGCCTGACGATGCAGTCTTGAAAGCACCGTTGTTGCCTGCTGCACTGGCGGTACCGTTGCCTGCTGCACCAGAGGTACCGTTGCCTGTTGCACTAGCGGCACTACCAGCAGGAGCAGATCCAGCAGGAACAGTGGTGTTGCCAGCTGCCGTCGTGCTGTTGCCAGCTGCCGTCGTGCTGTTGACAGTTGTACCCATTGCCGCGGCTTGGAAGTCTGCGAAGGTCTTGTTGCCAGTGGTAAGAGCGTTGATGGAACCAACCATTCCCATGTGGCAATGGTTAACGGGGTTGGTTTGTCTATATAATCAATACTTAGAATCGTTATGCAGGCAAAATAAGAAATAGACTTACGGGCAGTAGAACCAGAGGGGGGCAGTCTGGGTTACTTTGAGGGTGATCGTGGGGAAGTTGTCGGTGACATCACTAGCGATTGGGAAGCTAAAATAGAATGAAATCGTGAGTAACCAACGCAGCAGTTGATTTGAAATGGAAAAAAAAACGCACAAAGGAGCTTGGAATCCATTCGCTATAGGTGTGCATGGGTCCGCAAACGAGCTTTGGTACACCGAGTGATTCTTGGACATGAAGATGAACTGAACAGTTCCACCAGTGGGCACGGTAACCGCCGGG